AGTAAACAGGTGTGTATTATCTATAAAATATAGGTTAAAAATAGCTATACTTATAAAAATAGCTATAATGAAAATGATACCATACCAAGTGTCAGCAAGGATAAGAAGCATTTGAAACCAGCACTTTATTGCTGGTGGGATTATAAAATGGTCAGCCACTTTGGAAAACAGTTTGGCACAGTAATTTCTTGGAAAGTTAAACAATTCTTCTCCTAGGTACGTCCCCAAGAGAAACAAAAACATATGTCTACACAAAGACTTGTAGGCAAATGTTAATAATTAATAACTATTCATAATAGCCACAACTGGAACTAATCCAAATGAATCCAAATGAACCTGGTAAATGGAAGATGAAACGTGATATAACCTGTGATACTATAATATAATAAGAAATAAATATTTTGGTCTTCATCCCTAACTCCAGCTAGCGCTCCTAAAACCTTCATAAGTCCCTAAGCAATGAAGATGTTAGGAGCATCTCATTGTTCTAATATTTGGTATTTGACTCCAGTTCCTAATAGAGATTGCAAATGCCCTGAAATTTCCTGGGTGATAGGAACATCTTTAGTTCTAATGAACAATTTGGTGGACTCCTGGAGAGCTTCAGGAAGGGGGCTTTAAACTCACCAAAAAGATCAACCCATGATTAGAGGCTTGGAATGTTCAGCCTCACTCCCATCTGTTGGGTAAGGGAAAGGGGAGGAATTAGAGGTAAGGGTTAATACTTGAACACATTTATGTGATAAAACCTTAAAAAAAATTCTATAAAGTATGGGGTTCAGAGAGCTTTCAGGTTAGTGAATGCACCGGTGTGCTGGAAGGGTAGTACACCTCAACTTCATGGAGATGGAAGCTCCTGCACTGGGGACCCTTCCAGATCTTACCCTATACATCCCTTCACCTGGCTGTTCATCTGTATTCTTTATAACATCCTCTACTGTGTATATAAACCAATAAATGTGGTTTCCCTTACTTCTGTGAGCATTATAGCAAGTTACTGAACCTGAGAAGGAGGGTTGCAGAAACCACCCATTTGTAGTCAAGATGGACTGAGGGTGGATAACTTGGGAACCTGCTCCTCGTGGACTGTGTCTGAAGCGGGAGCAGTCTTGAGGGATTGAGCCCCTAACCTGTGGGATCTAACACTAACTCCAAGAAGGTAGTGTCATGATTGAACTGGACTGTAGGGACACTCTGCTGGTATCAGAGAATTGGTCAATGTGGGAGAAACATCCACACTTCTGGTCACACAAGTATTATGAGTAGCAGAGTGTAAAAGAAACACGCTGCGACTTTTTATAACCTTAACGCTACTCAGCAGTAAAAGGCGGCAAGCTACTGATACATTCAAAAACACTAATGAACCTCAAAAACAGCATTAAGAAGCCAGACACAAAACCATACTGGATTAATCTGTTTATTAGAAATCTCTAGAAAAGGCAAAACTGAAGACAGAGAAAGTAGGTATGTTGCCCGGGACTGAAAGAAGGGACTGACTGTAGGCAGGTAACTAGGTATACCTTTAGGGGAAAGGAAGGTGTTTTAAAATAGGATTGTGGTGATGGTTGCACAACTGTATACATTTACTAAAAACAGGGAATTCCCTGGCAATCCAGTGGTTAGGACTCTGCACTTTCACTGCCGAGGACCTGGGTTCAATCAATCCCTGGTCAGGGAACTAAGATCCTGCAAGCTGCACAGCACGGCCAAAATTAAAATTTTAAAAATTTTACTAAAAGTAATAAAACTGTACATTTATAATAGATGAATTTTATAGTATTTAAATTACACCTCAATAAAACTGCCTTGAAAGGGTCTAGACGTTACAGCACTGTCAAACCACTATAAAAGAGTTTCTAAACATTCTCCATTTTAAAGTATTTCTTTAATTCACAGACCACAGTTTGAGAAGCACTGATCTTATTGACTTCTGCTAGGTGTTGGGCTAAAAGGCTTGGAGCAATCAATAGTTGTAATTAAAATGCACCTTAACTTAAGCCATACAAGTTTAACTCCACTAAATATTTCATTAAGAAATTCACAAATGTTACTGATACAGAAAAATATGGAACCATGGTCTACTGTGGAATAAAAACATAACTCATTACAAAATGACACTTAATAAATGAGTTGTCTCTAGAGAACAAAAACTACCATAGCATCTATCTTTTTAATTTATTATAACTAAATTGATAAAGTCAGTATAATTATTAGAATACTATAATTAAAAGATGCTTGCTCCTGGGAAGAAAAGTTATGATCAACCTAAACAGCACATTAAAAAGCAGAGACATTACTTAGCCAACAAAGGTCCATCTAGTCAAAGCTATGGTTTTTCCAGCAGTCATATATGGATGTGAGAGTTGGACTATAGAGAAAGCTGAGCAAAGAAGAATTGGTGCTTTTGAACTGTGGTGTTGGAGAAGACTCTTGAGAGTCTCTTGGACAGCAAGGAGATCCAACCAGTTCATCCTAGAGGAAATCAGTCCTGAATATTCACTGGAAGGGCTGATGCTGAAGCTGAAACTCCAATACTTTGGCCACCTCATGCAAAGTACTGACTCATTTGAAAAGACCCTGATGCTGGGAAAGATTGAAGACAGGAGGAGAAAGGGATGACAGAGGATGAGAAGGTTGGATGGCATCACCAACTCGATGGACATGAGTTTGAGTAAACTCCGGGAGTTGGTGATGGACAGGGAGGCCTGGTGTGCTGCAGTGCATGGGGNCATCACCAACTCGATGGACATGAGTTTGAGTAAACTCCGGGAGTTGGTGATGGACAGGGAGGCCTGGTGTGCTGCAGTGCATGGGGTCACAAAGAATTGGATATAATTGAGTGACACTGAGCTGAAATGAACTGAAAACCCAAAACAATGTAATTTTAAATATATAAATGAATTAAATGAGATAGAATTTTATATGTATTTTGTATTTTTTTGGTTCAAATATCTGAACATATATATATAGTTATATATATATATATAAAACCAATACATATATAGGTTATATATAAGTATATATTTGTTTCAGAGAAAGTCAAAATGACATAAAAGCTTTCTTTTGTTTCAACTAAGTGTATATGCAGGCTATGTTTAGTCGAAATTTGTTAGCACTTAATGCCTATGATGTGATCTAAAATCTACATTTACTGTATAGTAACTGGACACCAATTATAGAAAGCATTGATACTTTTTTATATCTGTGGGACAACATAGAGATGAAATAAACAAAGACTCTAGATTTTAAAAGGCCAAAGCAATCTGCTAAAGATTACTTTTGGGGGGAAAAATTAAATGCTAAACTTTTTAGATGAAATTTTTAAAACTTTTCAGATGATAAATCTCACTCCCTGGAAGAGTTCAGCTTCTTTAGTAATCTAACCATTCTTTAGAGCTCAGATATTCTTTTTTTTTTTTTTAAATATGGAATGCTTCACGAATTTGCGTGTCATCCTTGCACAGGGGCCATGCTAATCTTCTCTGTATCGTTCCAATTTTAGTATATGTGCTACCGAAGTGAGCTCAGATATTCTTTACACAGGTTTGCTATACAATGAAACTAAAGCTTTCAAAACCACACGCAGCTCTGGTATATTGTTTTCTTATAGTGAGGTTTTTGATTTGCCAAGTCAAAATTAAGAAGTTTAAAAGCATTTCTTTCAATTTAAATGTCCATCAACAGACGAACTGATAAAGATGTGATACACACCCACCCACCACCACCGGACTACCACTCAGACATAAAAAAGAAAGAAATTTGCAGCAGCAAGGATAGATTTGGACCTTGAGATTATCATATTAAGTAAAAAGAGAAAAACAAATATCATATGATACCATTTATATGTGGAATCTAAAAAAAAAAAAAAAATACAAATGAACTTATTTATAAAACAGAAACAGACTCATATACCTAGCAAACAAAACTTAACGGTTACCAAAGGGGACAATGGTGGGGAGGGATAAATTAGGAGTTTGGGATTAACATATACCCACTAGTATATCTAAAATAGGTAAACAAGGCCTAATTAGCACAGGGAACTATATTCAATATCTTATAATAACTTATAATGGAAAAGAACAGTGCATATGTGTATACATACATATCTGAATCACTTTGCTGAATACCTGAAACTAATGTATCACTGTACACTAACTATGCTTCAATTAAAAAAAAAAATTAAGCATTCCCTTCATATTTAGCATATGAGACCTGGATGTATAGCTTTGTTTTGAATTAAAGAACAACTTTAAATTGAAAATTAAACTAAATGAGGGGAAAAAAATCTAGGATAGCTACGGTCATTCTTTTAACAAATACATTCCAGTTATATGTGACAGTTTTAAGTGCTATTTGTCCCTTTACATTTTCGCAGGTCTTCTTGGAAAGCTGAAAAATTGTAGTCTCTGTTGGCCTTTTCTCTGTATAACTATTTTTGCTATTTCTTGACTCTTTGCAACTTATACTTTACACAAAAAGCTAGAGTTACAACCCCAGAAGGAAAGCTAAAGATCAGTGACTAGAAGCATTTACTCGTTTCATTTCCTGTCTCCAAAGAAACATCAACTCACATGATATAGAATATTCTGAAGTAAGTTATATCCTACCTCTATAACATATGTTCACCCTCCAAAAAGTGCACTTTCAATATGCATTTGGATTTCCTGAAATTATATTACGATTTAATAAGTTTATAAGAGTAGAAAAGCAATTGCTACATGAATTCCCAAACTAGTAACACAAAAAGCTATAATCTAATATCCAGCTAGTTAAAGGGACAATAGATAATATTGTGAATGTTCCAAACTCTTCTAAAATTAACTGCGGTCATGACTAAAAGATAAGTTATAACTATCAGTAGTAGTACACTAGGTGAGCAAAAGTATAACACCACTCAAAACACATTAAGAGAACGTTTTTTAAAACTATGTACAGATAGAAATGGTGATCATGACTCTATAACTATGCTTTTAACAATTCATGCCCAGGTGGAATCTTACCCTTCTGGTTTTGTTTCCTAGACATTTCAGGTTTCTTTAATCTCAAAAAATGCAGAAGAGAAGTATTATTTTGCCTTGTCTTGGTTCTGACTGTAGTTATCTTTGATTTAAAAGGAGTTGACCGAAGGCTGTAGTTGGAGGTGATAAATATAAAATCCTGGTTATTTGAAATCCTGTTCACTAGCCGTCAATCTCCTTTTCTTCTCTCATATCAAATTTGTGTCAAGAAATATCATTGCAGACATTCATGTCTCTTTTTCCAGGGAGATTCTAGGGGGAAAACAAACATACACACATATTCACTATGACAGTAACAGCTGTACAAAATTTTTAACAGATATCCACATGCTTTATTTTACATTTTTTCTAAATGAAACTAGTTATTAAAAGAAAACTAGGATTTCCCTGTTGGTACAGTGGGTAACAGTCTGCTTGCCAAAGCAGGTACATGGGTTCAATCCCTGGTCCAGGAAGATTCCATGTGCCACAGAGCAACTAAAGCCCATGAGCTACAACTACTGAGCCCGCATGCCGCAACTACTGAAGCCCATGCTCCTAGAGCCTGTGATCCGCAACAAGAGAAGCCACCACAATAAGAAGCCCGTGCACCTCAACAAAGAACAACCCCCGCTCTCCACAACTAGAGAAAGCCTGCATGTAGCAAGAAGACCCAGCGCAACCAAAAATAAACAAATTATTTAAAAGAGAGAGAAAAAACAGGGTATTTACTTGTTAAAAAAAAAAACTACTCTAGAAAGAATACAGTTGTAAGAAGCAATATTTTAATTAATACAACATTGTAAATCCACTATAATTTGATTTTTAAAAGTTTCTCAAAAAAGAAATCACTGTAAACCTTCTTTAAAAAAAAGCAATAATTTGCTCCTTAAGAAATTTTAATCTTATAATCAAACTATTTTCTCAGTTCAGAAAGCATGTTTTCTTATTCTTGTGTCTATCTCAAAAATCTTATCTCCATCTCTACTTCACAAACCGAAACAGTTACTTCTTATCACTCCCTAAGATCTCTCTTACCACCTGCTCTTCTTATATAAATCAAGGGTCTTTTCTCTTCCTCTATAATTTCCTTTATCTAACCTCTCCTCAGGTTTCCCAGCTCAAATATAGCTGCAAGACATTTGGGGGGAGGGTGAGAGGGAAAAGGAGAGAAAAAAGGGAATTTAATTTAATAAGGAAAACTGAAACATCAGAATTTGGATTAGTCAATACTACAGAAAGCTTTTATAAATTGCAAAGATACAAATGCCTTTTTCCTCCCTTATTACTAAACATTTAATAAATACATGTCCACAATTTCTGGGTAAAGAAAGCATGAGGAGGATCATAGTACTCTTGTACCTAGATACCTGATAGAAAAAAAAAAAAAACTTTACAAAATGTAACCCAAGAAGGAAATAAGAGTAAACTTATACGAAATATTTTTTCAGTGTGGAGAAGAATAAAAGGGATAAGTCATGAGTAAGTAAAAAAAAAAATCCATCAAGAGTAAAAGCCTGTTCTGAGTCGCTCTGCTGTGTACCTGAAACTATCACAACATTGTTAACTGGCCATACTCCAATATAAAATGAAGTTTTAAAAAAAGGATACATGTAAAATAAGGACTTCAGAGTAACAACAGCCTCTTAGGGAATTCCCTGACAGTCCAGTGGTTAGCACTCTGAGCTTTCATTGCCACATGCCCGGGTTCAATCCTTGATCAGGGAACTGAGATCCAGCAATGTGCAATCAATAAAAATGACACAGCAACTATCAAATCTCCAGTAACAAAAGAGAAAGACAATGAGAGAAAATAAATTACCATGTAGCAGATAGCAGATGAAGAACTAAACCTGGAAAATAATATAACCCCCCAAATCAAAGATTTTCCATTGAATACTTATTTGAATACTTTAAATAAGAATTTAGAGTAAATAAAATAAGAGCTAGGAAATAAATAAAAGAATGAATAAGGATAAATAGAATGAAAAGAAAGATGACTGCAAAGCTAAGAAAATTTGAAAAAACAAAATACCACAATTACAGATTCAATAAGGTAACAAACAGAACAGATTCAAATGAAAATAGAATGAATGGGATGGAGAAAGGCTTTCAGAATAATAATAATAATAATAATAATAATAATAATAATAATAAAAACATAAAAGAAGTTAAAGCAATTAGAAGATAATACTAGAAGATAAAAATGACCCAATCTAAGGATAATTAGAATCAATATAATAGACTCCAAAAACAGAGGACTCAATAAAGGGAACAGAAAAAACATTCACAGATGAAATACAGGAAAATTCCTTTGAAATAAGGGATCAGTATCGTTCCCTCCCCACTACCTTTTACATACACCAGAACTGGCCCACTTCTTACCATCTCCACTTGCAACCACCTTTGTCCAAGACACAATCATTTCTCACCTGCATTGCTGTAATCAAGACCATAATAGTCTCCTAACTGGCATCCTGAGTCTGCTATTCTGCCACTCAGGCTTCTGTTTCACATAGCTGTTTTAAAATTATAAGACATTATGTCCCAACTATGCCATTCAAAGCCCTCCAGCAGCTCCTCATTTCATTCAAAGTAAAAGCCAGAGCCCTCAGAGTGGCCTAAAGGTCTTATCTGCTCTAACACCCTGTCCGCATGCACCCTTTCTTTCTCTGACCTCACATCCCGCTACCCTTCCTCTCAGGTATTCTATACCAGCCACACTGGCCTCTTTATTGTCCATTTTATAACTTAGATATGTTCTCACCTTAAGGCCCTTAAGGTGTTGCCTCTGCCAGCAATGTTCTTCCCCTGGATAGCTACATGGAATACTTCCTCACTTCCTTTAAGCTTTTTCTCACATGTTACTTTCTCTGCAGTTATTCATTAAGAAACTGCTGAACCTTGGGGTGAGCACAGAGGGAGTCTGTGGCATTACTGTCTAAAGCTACTCCCATCCCCAGAGGTCAGTGGGGAAGGTGGGTCTACCAAAGTGGTAAAAACCAGCAGTTTTACCGACAAAGAAGGCTGACTTTACTTAAAGCAAAGCACAGAAAAAGCCCATGCCTATCCTATCTGCATTGTCAATAAGAGTTTGCATTCTTGGGGACAAACAGAAAAGCAAGACCAAAGGTTCCAATAGCCTGCGGTTGCTGTCATAGTTAGTGCAAACAATGGACCAGCAAACTAGTCAGAAATTAAAAAAGGAAATCTGGAGAAGAAACTATAAGGGACCTTGATAAATGTCTACACATTCACACTGAAGAGGGTCCACCAGGAGCCTGCATACACAGGCAAAAAAGACACAAAAGGGCCCGGTGGAAGGTAAAAATTAGGGCAGACTTTGAAATGGTCTGAACTTTAAAGGAGCTTCCTCAAACAGATAAAGATCAGTAGAGAGTAGAAGTCTTACCAGGTATTTAGCACAACACCTAGCACAATATCTAGCACAATCTTTGACCAATCATTAACTGACCACTAAGCAATGCAGATGCAGGTGTCACTCCAGGAAGCCAAACATAAAAATTAAAACAGAAATTAAAATAACAAAAAACTGAGCAGATATCAGCACACACCACAGAGAAAAATTCCAGATTTAGCTCAGGAGAGTTACTTTAAAAACAATAATAATTAATTACAATAATTAAAAACAATAATAACAACAACCCTCAAAAGGGAAAAAAATCAGAATCCAACACTGCTACAATATATTATGTAAAATGTCCACAGTTTCATCAAAAATTTGTAAGATGTAAAAATGCAAGAAAGTGTGACCCAAACTGAGAAGGGAAAAAAGACCCCATGTGATCGAAAACACCCCTGAGTAGGCCCAATGCCAGCTTAGCAAACACAGACTTCAAAGTGCTTTAAAAGACTAAGGAAAATTATAAGAACAATGCCTTAAACAAATAGAAAATCTCAACAACAAAAAATAATTATAAAAAAGACCAAACAAAACCCCAGAGTTGAACACTGAAGCAGAATAAAAAATAAACCTGAGGAAAGAGTAACAGAAATTATCTAATCTGAAGAGAGAAAAGAATAAAGACAAACATAGCCTTAAAGACCTGTGGCACAATGTCAAATGTACCAACATACATGAATTAGGAGTTCCAGAAGTGGAAAGGTTATAGAAACAGTGACCAAAAACTATACAAACTGACTTTTACAACTAACCTACACTTTAAGAAGCTAAATGAACCATGACAACAGAAACACAGAAAACTATACCTAGACATACAGCAAAATTGATGAAAGCCCAAAACAGAAAATCTTGGGAGTATAATATTACAGGGACACAAAGATACAACTAGTGGCTAACTTCTCATCAGAAACAAGGGAGACCAGAAGGCAATGAAATAACGTATTCAAAATGCTGAAATAAAGTACTGTCAAGTAAGAATTCTGTATCCAGAGATGACTAATGAACACATGAAAAGATGCTCAACACTGCTTATTATTAAAGAAATGAAAATCAAAACTACAATGAGGTATCACCTGACACTGGTCAGAATGGCCATCATCAAAAAATCCACAAACAATAAATGCTGGAGAGGGTAAGGAGAAAAGGAAACCCTCTTGCATTGTTGGTGGGAATACAAATTGATAACAGCCACTATGGAGGACAGTGTGGAGATCCCTTAAAAAACTAGGAATAAAACTACCATATGACCCAACAATCCCACTACTGGACATATACTGTGAGGAAACCATAACTGACAAAGACACATGCACCCCACTGTGCATTACAGCACTATTTACAATAGTTAGGACATGAAAGCAACCTAGATGTCCACTGACAGATGAATGGATAAAGAAGTTGTGGTACACATATACAATGGAATATTACTCAGCCATAAAAAGGAACAAATATGACTCCGTTCTAATAAGGTGGATGAACCTAGAACCTATTATACACAGTGAAGTGAGTCACAAAGAGAAAGATAAATATTGTATTCTACTGCATATATATGGAATCTAGAAGGATGGTACTGATGAACCTATTTGCAGGGCAGCAGTGGAGACAAACATGGAGAAAAGACTTGTTGACACAGAGCGGGAAGGGCAGGGTGGGACAAATGGTGAGAACAGCACTGAAAGATATACACTGCCATATGTAATTTAGATAGCTAGTGAAATTTACTGTATGACGCAGGGAGCTCAAATCAGTGCCCTGTGATAATCTAGAAGGGCAAGATGGGGAGGAAGGTGGGAGGGAGGCTCAGGAGGGAGGGGATATACTTATACCTATGGCTGATTCATGTTCATATATT